TGTTAGTTCTTTCGTACCTGAATTTCTTATTTGCTGCTGCATTCTGCTATATTCCTTAGCGCGCGGCGTCTCCCTCGCCGCGACGCGACAATTTCGTTCCTACTGCACTCAGTCAGATTTAAAGGTAGTTATAGTGAAGCTATGAGAATGCTGTATATGCTACCTGAGTCTTTGATCTGAAACTAAGGAAATTCACCTCCACGAGACACTGGGCACCGGTGTAGTCGATTCGGGGGACAGCAGACAAGTCGATGACGATCGCTCGTATTGACTCATTTTCGGGTTCAGTAAGCGAGAATGGCTGTGATTACTTGGATGATTAGAAAAGTGAAGTGTTGATATGGTAAATCAAATTCATTTTGCAGTACTTTGAGTGGTATGACTTTAGTATATCGCATTGTTGTTTCTGACTCATTTTGGCTGAGTTCCATCAACTTTTTTCGCTTCAATTCTTCTCGTCTTTGCCTGCAATGCAAAGAAATAATTATTATTGCTATCAAAAAAACCTTTTTCTTGAATTCTTAGATGCTTCAATTTTTTGATGTCAAAATTCTCAATTCTCTTCTCCACTATCCATTCTTTAAACCAAGCCTAACTTGGCGACAGTGATTTCCCCTGAATAGGCCTTCTTTCCCTAATCAAGCGGTAAAGAGGTGAATGAGGAAGTGAGAGAGGGGCAGGGAGCAGACGAAGTAACGCGACTGAGCACCGCTTTCGAGAAATTCTACTTGACTATAGGACTATTACTGGCATTTTATCTAAGGTGGACAAAAGGAACGTTGAGTGCGGAAACTTGGGAAACGAGCCTATCGCATGGGAGGGAAGGGTGAGACGGATGAAAGGGACTCATTGAAGCCGAGTTTCGGTAATATGCATATAAAATTGATGAAGCCTTACTACTGCTATACCTTCTCCAGAGCTTTGACAGGTGTATGGCGTCATTTATGTTGTTCCTGAATTGTTCTGCATTCAAGTAGACGATCGGGGCAGCAAACCGGACACAACACACTCCGTCACGGATCTCTGCATCTCTGTGAAGAAGTGAAACTCTAATCAATATTATCGATTGCAAGGAGCAATGTACGCTGTAATCGATCGAAGTCACTTTATGGGTTGAAAGCCCTTAGCTCAAACATCTAGGGAGGAATTCGGAAATTGCAGTTGAGCGCTGTAAGCTACCCCAGGCACAAACCTTCTTCACAGTGTTTCGATTCCAGAACAACCCTCACTACCGCTACATAATAACAGTAGAGTAGTGGATGGAGTTCATTTGAACAAACATACCTGTTAAGCTTTATAGGTTGGAAGTGTGAATGCCCCTCATTGTTAGAAATTCGACCAATTTCCATAACATTTGCTCTAAGAATAGGCGTTTTTAGTGAAAAAGCAGAACATAAAATCATTAGATGGAAATTACCTCTGAATTCCGATAAGAAGAAGCATTGCAGCAAAGAAGGTCCCTATCAGCAGGCCTTCCACGACATCATACACTACTGTGGCAACGAAACTCACCACGAATATGGCCTAGAAGATCGGAATGCCTTCCACTATAACTATGTTACCGAAGAAACTCTTTACTTACACAGTCAATCCTCGATATGGACCACAATGAAGGAATAGTGCTAAGCTGCATGAACATTGCTTTCAAAGCTACGATGACAATGCAGGACAAAAAGCATACTGGTAACGATTCAAGAAAGGGCCCTATGAAAAAGATGACCGCCAGAAGTAGAGCGGTTGAAAAAATGGTGGCCAGCTGAAGAAATTTGAGTATGAAAATCAAATCCTGCTGGATATTAAATGAAAAGAAAAGCTTGCAACTCGTGGAGTCGATTAGGATATAGCCATTTCTATGAATCCACAATTTCTGAGCAAAGCAGTAAAAAGGAGTTATGTGAGTAGTACCTGTGTCCTTGTTCCGGCTGCCTCATAAACTAATGAACGAGCCAGAGCTGTTGACGCTGGCCAAACAGGAAAAAATGAGGACAAAATCCCTACAAAACCCATTGCATAAAACTCCTGTAATTGGTCATTATTAGTTGCGGACCAATCAAATTTGTACCGTATTGCTAGTACAACTGCAACTGCAACTAGTACAAATGCAACTCTCATTGCAGTGTATCATTACAGTGAACTTCAAATTTAGCTGGAATAGGCCAAAACCGTCCAATTGGCCGACTTAGAATTGAGGGGATTGGTAACAGATTTGTATTTCAACTGCACCAACAACTCAGTACAGGGAAGCTGCAAACTACTGAGCTGCAGGTTCTAACTCCTTCAAACCTTTCAGTTTTGCCCACTGTGTTAATTCCATTGTGGATCCATTTCAGAATATTCTCATCCAATTTGGCTTCTGGTAAATTAACAAGTATATCCTTTCAATGTCAAGCAATAGGGCCTTTTACAAATTACTGGAAAAGAAGCCGGCGAGTACTGCCCCCCACGAAAGAATCACTGCCTATCTGAGGGTATTCTCAGCCTTATCTCGGAGTGGACGTCTATGTCACGAGGGAAAAAGGTGGCGTTTAACCATAAGCTGTTAAGCAGTTCCTAACATCAATGGTTTCCTAAGCGTTGTCCTGTTAACAAGGGCGATTCACTTCGCACATTATATTCTTACTGTGAAACGGTAAATTTTTGGGTGAGATGTAGCTACAATATATTGATAAATGGGTCAAGCTTAAGCCTTAGTCATACCTGCCTAACATCTATCTCGTATTTGTGTTTCTTTGCAAACAATTTGCCCATAGAAACAGTGACCACTAAAACCACAACACTGATAGCCAACGCGTCACTGAGGAAGTAGCGGAACAGCGACACGTCCGGAAGTGCAGGTGCTGGCAATCTGAAAGAAAGGTTACTCGGTAGCCGATTTGCTTTATGGCTCCTCTAGTAGTAGTTACCCTTTAGGTATGGTTCCCACGATTTTGATACCACATCGATCGTGCAGATTAACTAGGTTAGAAATGATTGTGCCAATGATTATCTGCAAAGGAACGCTTTGAATTTTGAATGAGATACAATGAGATGACAATGAGCTAACCCTCCCAAACAGCTATAAGCATTATAAAATTATTATTTTTGGCATGATTGTATTGTTAGTTCTGTTGTTCCTGTATTTCTTACCTGCTGCTGCATTCTGCTACATTTCTTCGCGCGCGGCGTCCCTCTCGCCGCGACGCGACAATTTCGAACCTACGGCACCACACCCGGGCAATAACGATCAGCAACTCACCACAAGCAAATCATACGGTAACGGTACAGATATACTGAACTTCCTCTTAATCATGGGGTCGATATAGATTTTAGCAGGAAGCAACAGTACGATGGTGGTTACGGAGATCCCGAATGTAATCCAATTTGCATATCCATTTAATATGCTGCCAATTAAATCTTTATACATCTGAAAAAAAATCGGATTGGCCTTCGAGGCAAGTAATGCTGAAGAAACGCCGAAATTTAATGTTTCAGTTCCTACTTACAAAATACAGTTTCCCCAGCCCAGAGTGACGAGGTAAAGGGACGCCGAAAATTTTATTGAGTTGAGTTGTCAATACATGTACTGCTGCTCCTGTGGTAAATCCACCGATGATCTGAAGGCTTAATCAGATGATTTGCCTAGACAGACACGGATCTGTCAAGGTAAACTGTGAAAACCCACTTGGTCAGAGAGAAATGCTGTGAGAAAATCCAATCGGAGAAGAGCCATAGCTACCTAAACTGGGAATAATGCTGTAACAACGTCAGCACATAACAGAGGCCTAGTTTTGTTTAATTAATTGTGATTGAGGTACTAGACTTTATTCTGTAGTAACTGTGCTGTAACTATTACTGAAAAATGATGGCTCTAGCAGTTACCTGCATTATGCCAACACACATTGCTAAAGAAGTGACGATAGCGACTGAAGCATGCATTTTGGCTTCCTCAGACCAGCCGCTGAGGGAACTTCCACTATTATTCATGGCCTTTGCTTCGAGGATGGTCATTACTCGTTGGTTACAATTACCAGTTATCAAGTTCACAACAGCAGAAACACCTCAAAACATCTCGAACTGAGCATAGTTTATTTGCATTCCTGAACTGATCTAGATGTAGCCATCAAATTTCTAACAGTTATTAGAAATAGCCGGTACTAATAAGTGATTGCTCAAAAGTTGTACGTGGAATCTGTGTCGGTAAATATCTCTCCCTTCATTATACATATTGCTAATTCTTTTACATCGATTCTTTGAGAATGTATTTATCGAGGAAGCATGGCGCATTCTGCGCAACTCAACTCGATCAATTAAAGCAAATAACTTTGAATATTTCTTCCACGGCTTATTGCTCTGCTTATTTGAGTATTTTTTAGACCCTGCAACAGGGAATTACAGAAGACCCATCATCAACACCTATGTGGATGTTTCTGTTCCTGTTAAATTAAATAAAAAATCAAATGAGTGA